CTCGAATTGTACAGTTTTAATCGGACGTCTAATGGATTCGCGGTATTTGTCCGTGTTTCGTTGGATTCCAAACTCTTCACGAGTGCTCTCTTTGAGCCCGATTCCGACGCAAACATCAACCACTCCTCTATCCATCTGCCTCCCTCTCGCTCTTTCGATGACTTCAAACGGTTCCTGGAGTGTGCTCGAGCTGAAGTGCTCTTGCAGTTACAAAGATATACGTTGCCGATCGGAAAGTGTACTCTCGCGGTATTCCCCTCGTTTTACGACAGTCTGTGCAGGCTTAACGGTTAAAGAACGCTCGAGCCTGCTGATGCACACTTTTCCGTTACAAAGAATGATTATATCCCCCGGAGGGAAGTACCTTCCGTACCGTGAGCGAGATAACGGCGGTGTGCAATCGTCGTGAAACGTTCGACGCCTACGCGATATAAAGTCTCGAGAAGAAAATTAAAAACTCGATTCGCGAGATCCCCATCAAAGGTATACCTCCGCTTCGACCGAACGTCTGTCTGAAAAATCCGTTCGAAAGTTGCTCGCCATCGGAACTCCGATAATACGCGCGCACCTAAACGCGGAAGTCGGGATGCAACGTTGACAGATACTAAGAAACTTGTCTCTCGATCCAAGAAAAATAATTTGCCGACCAACTTTACCGACTCGCCCCATCAGCCTGCTCGAGAATACACAAAGCTGACGGCAAGCACAACTTTCCTCGTTAAGAAACGTTGATCCGAATAAGCCCATTCTTCGGTTGTTCACCGAATTCCAAAGAACCGCTCGCGAACAGCCTTCGTCTTCCTCGTTCGTTTTCGTGCCTCTCTTACCCTTTTTTTTTCATTCCGCCCCCATCGGTCCCGTCCATCGTCGTCGTTCTTCCGTCGCTTCCGCGCTGATGGTAGTTAAGAACTTTTAATATTAGATAAATAAGTTGCTTCCCGATTGTCTCGGTTATTATCAAACTTTTCACGGGATAGTTTATATTCCCTCCATCGAACGTTTCCCGCTCATCGGTCGCTTACGAGTCGAACGGTACGACGTTACGATTTACACAAAATAAAGAAATGAAAAATTGCGTAATTAGTCGTAGCAGGGTATCGGGCAAGGTGTTACGGGATTTCGGATCGTAGAGCGACGGAGACGCGTTAACGGATACGTGGTACAATGTTCCGCGTTCATGCGCGTATACGTGACAGGATCGCGTGTGGGCAATTATCCAAGACACAACGCGATACCGTAAACGGACGTCGCGCCGCTTTGCGACCCCGTTGGCTTCCGGAATGTAATTGCGAACGGTCAGGCTGCGATCGCGGCTCGTGTCTTCTTCGCTATTTGCAGCCGAATAGCGTCGGAAAAATCGCGGTCCACGGGACGGTGCGAACGTCGCTATCGAGAATGAATTATTCGGCCTGCACGTAACAAGAAATTTACGATCGACACCGACTACGCGGTCTGTTCCCTCTAAACCACCCCTTCGAGTTACTGCTTCGAATTTGCTGTCATAAATTTCGGGGATTTCAACGTTGCGTAAAGGAGCACAAACGGCCGGCGCGTGTAAACAAGAAGCGAAAGGGGTTCTAAATATCGGTGGCGATCGAGAAGTAATCGAAATGTCTCAAAAAAAGAAAAAGGGGGTTTTAATAAAAAATCGATGGACCTTTTTAAAAAAGCCTGAAGGCTTCCTCCAATATTTCATACTTGTCCGCTAAAAGATTACTAACCATCATCGTCGATCCGTAAAGAGCTAATCAATATTATCGAGAACGAGCTGTCGAATCCTACCATCTGCTCCAATTCCTCGAATTATATTTACACCTGTCGATTGTTTAATCGTTTCAATAATTCACCATTTTCTCGTATTTTTAGCGTCGCGCGTCATACGTTGGCATTTTCAGAGTACTCGGGATCGAGGGGTTCCATTCGCGGGTATTAAAACGTTCCATCTTTCCGAGGGGTTAGGGGAGGAAAGTCGAAAAACGTTGGTCATTTCGAACCGTCTAGTTAGGAGGGCTTTTCGAGCGAATTAACGAGACTGATACGTTTAACGTGGAACTCGCCGTAGACGGAATTTTCGTCCGCGGATTTATTTTTCCCTCTCGATCCCATCTCCGTCGCATCTGCCCGGCCGTGTGTTTCGAGCAATCTCGGAGCGGCGTGTTCAAAAGAGCGAGCAGACTTTCCTCGCGTTTGGTACTTTCAATCGACTCGATACCATCCTTTGCTCTGCGCTCTCTCGTCGACGACCGTGCCGGAACAGCAGAGAGATACGGAATGGCCGAGTCACGGCCGTGTCATCTTGACTGACCCAAATAGGAAAATTGCTGGACAGAAAGGCACAAAGTTCGCCGACGAAATGTCAGCCGATTCCGAATAATTGACGTTTCTCCGTTCTCTTTTCCCTTTTTCCTTCCCGGTGCTTTTCCACGTCACGATCGGCGCGCGTATCGCGCAAAAACTGTGCCCGTTTGAACGTCGGTGAAATTGCGAGGCGCGACTCGACGCGAGATCCCCGTAACAATTTTAACGAAGACCGTGCCGTGAAAAAGATTTACGGGCGATCGTTGGACCGTTCCGCGAGGAAAACACAAAAGTAACAGCGGAAATCAGAAGAATGCGCCGTTTTAATTATTCGCAACTACCCGACCGGCTGAATAATTCTTGTCGCCTAGTCTTCCACTTGCGAACGCTCTCGAAAGCGCGAAATCGTTCTCCAGGCTCGCCGTTTTTTTTTCCCCTCCCGATAATTCCATAAATCAATTTCGAATTAACGATGGAGAGCTTTAGTCGTCTCGTTGGACGTTTCCGTTCGCGACGGGAATAGCTGATCTGTAGAAACGAATTCCACGATTCGGAATCGGTGGACATCGGCTCCACTGCGCGTTTAAGAGAGCGGTAGAGGCAAGTGCTGGTTTTAGCAATATTGGCGCTCATTCGGAGGTTACAATTTTAAATAAAGAATCCGTAGTTGGATTGTACGAATTATTAAACTACGTAGCATAGAAGAGACAATGAGAAAATACCAGGGACACCGAGCCGCGGCGCCCTCAACGCCGGCCCTGCGTACAGGGTAAATAAAACAATAATAAGCTTCTTTGGGAGACCTCTGGCAAGCTTTACGAAGGTTCTGGTCGCGAGTTAATCGCCGGATTCAGGGAAATCCAGTAGCGAGAGTCCCCTTCTCTGCTTGTTGTTCTGTCCCGTTTGATAATCGGTAGAACGCAGCGTCGCGGAAGCAATCTCTGGAAATTCGGGCGTGTCGTGTAAAAATAAAGCGACGAGACGGAACGAGACGCGCGAGGCGTCGCGACGGCGGGATTCGTCACGGGCGCGCGGATTAAACAATTATTTTCGACGATGCTCTCCGCGCGGAGTTATTTCGTTGTCTCGTGTAACGGCAAGAAAAACAAAGCGGCCGGGGAAATGGTTTACGACTTTCCTGTGTACGAGAGGCATTCCCTGGGAAATTCGGGGACGCTAATGTCTGGCGGAAACGGAAACGTGCGAGCAGAAACGGGAGTAGGAGGTCGCAGGGGATGGCGGCAGTGCGCGGACTCGCGACGACCGATTTCCCGGATTTGTCTGACGTTTAATGAACGCTGGCAGACGTTTTGATTTACAGGACAGTTTGATTTCCAAGCGGAGCACAATAACCGCCAATTTGTAAATCGCCTCGTAAATCTGGACGCGCGGCAGCCCGTTGCAGTCGATGCAACCCGAACCAACGCGATGCGACGCGACGCATCGGTGCTCTGCCGGTGCGAGCTAACGGCCATTCGTCCAATTGGATTAAACAATCGGCGCCGTTAAAAGGGACGGCTTTCTGCGTATTACCGGTAAACAGACCCGTAAAAACGATACAATAATAGTTTACCGGTCGAACAAGTCTGCTAACCGGCCCGGAACAATTTCGCTTATTGGTGATTTTTTATATCCGTCCGTTTCCGGCCCGTTTTACGGGGATGAATACACTGAATATTTATTAGTGCCGTGCCGGGGTTGCCTATCGTTTATTTCTCGACCAAAACACCCTCGAATTTACAGCCATGTTTATGTAAGGACATACCGGTTGGTGGCAAGTTATCGATGTGAAACGATCCTCCGATTTCAAAGTGCTCGATGCGACAACACCGCAGTCGACTCGGTTTCGATATTTCTTGATGAAAAAATTTATACAAACTATTCAAATATATACTTATAATTCGTCCACGTAATATTTCGTTTTTCGACCGTCTCTTTTCGTTAATTGACAACGCTGACGAGCGCGAACGCGACGTATGACACCGTGGACGATGCGTGCTTCCTGATTTTCCCCTTGCGTGGCGGTCAGGATGGATCGGAGAAAGTTTACGCGAAAAAAGAAGAGAAGGGTAACGATAGCGTTAGCGAACGAGCGTCATGTCGTTAACCGAGTTTACTAATTATGGGTCGAGCGCGATAGCTGAAGCCACCCGCGGCAATTTGAACGCCGATGGATGTGTAAAAGCGTGATGTAATAACAAGAGCCGCTTTGTTGAAGTTCCCGTGTGATATTACTTAAAAAATGTCCGTTAATTAACTCGTAAAACTTGTAATAAAGCAACGAATCAAGTTACACGGGCGGCGGCTCTTAAAATACTGGAACGGCGAGCGCTTGTTGCAGGAACAAGAAAGCGGAGGAAAAAAATCCCCTCCGGACAACGTTACGCTTCCGAGAGTGAAATTTTAAAATCAAATTGAATCTCAGCGCGCATCGATTAAAACTTCTCGGAATATCAAGGCGATGGAATTACTCGTTCGATGTTTTACGCTCCAGGAAGGGGGATCGTCTTATACCGATGCATTTACCGAGAGGTATTAATTACAAAATGCGCGCGATTCCGTTCCGAATGCTCGGCGTTCCGATGATTGGAAAATGTGTTTATTTCTTTGCGCGTTTGTCGTTGGAGTTGTATTTACAAAAATCCCTCGGCGTGCTCTCCGCATTTATCCTACGACAGGGTAATCAACGAAGTACGCGAGTAGTCGAAGCTAACGATGAAATAAATTCGCTGGACGTTACTCTAATCATTACCCTGGAATACTGGATCTCGTCTCGTCTCACGAGAGAACGTTTCGCGTCGGCTAGGAATTGCGTGCGTTACGGGTCATCAAAGAACTCCATAGTATAATTTAATTTAGAAACTCGCTCGCATTGTACATTCTTGTTAATTAGTCGAATTCAAATCCACATTTATCTATGGATTAACAGCGTATGCGTCCAGCTGTTTCGCGTTTATTAGCAGCCTGTTAGGACTCCCGTCGAACGAAACCAGGGAAACGTTTGATAACCCGACGCTGCCAATTTATAGGTGGGAAAGAGCTCCGGTGGCAGAGTCGGGATTAAACCGAGCTCTCGCGGTGATATCGCACAGTGAGAGGTCGAGTCGCATTTCTACCCGCGTTCTTTTCAATTCTCCCCTCCGCGAGCCATCTTCAAATCATTTCTTTCACGTTTTCTCTCATGTTTTTTTTTTTTTTTTTTTTTTTCGGTTTCTGTTCACTCCATTCATTGACCAATCCGAGACTTTAGTTTCCGCACGCGCGACACCGTAGGCGTTCGCTGCACGCGAATAGAGTCTATATCTTCTCGAGTGGTTGTACGTACGTTACAGCCCAATAAACCTGATTAACATTGGGCGTTCGTTAATTACAGGATCCCTCTATTACACTGACTTAGCCATGCGTTAATGATTTCGCGGGTGTATGGATATCCGACGTATCGACGAACCAACGATACGGAGGGTCGCAATATGCATTCGGATATGCGCGTCCTAGACTAGATGGATCCGTATTTACATATTCCTGTCGTGTACGCTCTGTATACCCTAACGCGGTACCTCTAATGATAGATAGGGTTACTCATTAATTGCTACCGACTCTTTTCATCGGAACGCATCGATCACCCCTTGGCCGTATTTTCATACTTTCCGAGCCTTTGAAATACCTGCCATTCAAAACGTCAGGCTTGGCGCGCGATCCGAGTCGGTTGTTATTTATTATAATTAGCGATTTTCAACCGACGATATCGGTGCGATTTTGTTACAGATAAGCATCGAGGTACAAGACGCGGAACGGTAACGAAATGGCGGATAATCACAGAAGAAGACGATACCTGACCATCAGCATACTTCACATCATCACTATCATGTGCCAAGGTATGTTCGCTACGAATTATTCGCTACAATTTATTCCACGGCACCTTCAGCTCTTATTCGTCATTCTACAGAGAAGCGTCCTCGGAAGTGCAATGCAGTTTCGCGTTTTTATTATCGCGGAGATGGCGAAATCTAGTTTCGTTTAGGGCACCACGCAAAAGAAAAGTATTGCGTGTGATATACGCGTTACATCTATAGCAGCCGTTGCTAATGGTATTCGCGTAATTATAAAGGAAACGTGTACCGGCTACGAATAGCCGGGTAAATAATTACACCGGGTGAAATAACGTTGGTTTATACCAAGTAAATTAGTATTATATTTCGATTAGATTCGCGCCGCATACCTCTGCGGAATTTAGTGTACCGGAGGCAAACGGAATATGCCGAGTATTTAAACGAACACCTTGGAAATGCGAGAAAAGAATTCGGTTGCTTGGAAAGAAATCCAGAGGATTCGTTTTACGAACTCCAATCTGGGAAAGTCGGATAATTAAATTTGTCGAACTGGTTCGAACGACATCGATCAAATTTTTTTGGGTCGAGTTTAAGAAAATGGGTACAGAGTAATTTCTTGCGCTCGCGTTTCGGTACTAATTGGGGCACGAACGTTGCATTTCTATGCACAAAAATACCGACGAGTTCACCATTTGTACGTCGCATTATCTGCCACTAAAGATACGGTTTCAGCTGTACGCTTAAACACCTCTTGAAAAACGAAACTTTCGTTGCACCATTACTCCTGGCCGTGGAACTAGATTCGCAATTTTCTTAAACGTAATTTGCATCGTTTTATACGCGAGACATCGCAGTCCGTTATCTCACGCTGGCAATAAATAAATTATAATTCGCTGGAAATGTACTTCCATCGGTTCAATTTCGCGGTGTGCGAGTACACGTACGCGCGCGTGCTGCAACTCGTGTCTCCGTTACGGCAACTTGCCACGCTCTGTATTTCCAAGAAGGAAACGAATTCAGATCCGGATAAATATCGTAAGTCACGACAACGTAACTACAGATACACGCGAGAGAGATTGTTTTATAAATAGCTCGACGAAGAACTGTACGCGGCCATCGAGATGGGCCGATAAAACACATTGCGTTAGGGCTGCCGGCATTAATCAATTTTTCATTCAACTGTACAATATCTTAGCGCGATGTGTCGGTCTCAGGTCGTTGAATGGAGGAAAGCCGATGCGGGAGGTCCCAAGACCGCGGGGACGGCCAACCGAGCGGTGGGAACTCGTAATTATCGTTAAATAAGAAAACAGCTCCCATTCCTTACGCTCTTTTTAGCCTGCTCTCTCCCAAACAAGATATATATTAAAGCTGAGCGAGGTAGACTTCGTTTCACTTTACCATCGACATTTCAGAGTATCCCAAAATTTCATTTATCCCAGTTTCGGTTCGATCAGTTCCGACGAATTCTTTACCCTCGTTCCGCGTAATGATAATTGGTAGCCTCGATTGGCATCGCCACGCTCCTCTAACGGCCAAGTAATCTGAGAATTCTGTACGGTTATTGGCTCGCCGTAATTCGTTAATCGAATTTCCGGATTGACGGTTCCCTCGCGAAACTTCCAATCGGTCGGACGGTTATTTCGCTCTGTTTGAAGAGGTACGTACAGGCTCGGGAACTTATTTCGCGAGGCCGGAAATTCAAACAGAAAATGTAGGCGCGTATAATGGGAAGACGCGGGTATAAAACCCACAGACTGCGGGCGGCGTTCGCGAGAGTCGAATCGGGGACGAATGTGCCAGAATAGAGCATTCCTGAATTCGACGATACGCGCTGTTTGCCTTTCCAATACTCGCTTCGTATCGGTTCACCTGCGAAATGCCGCGCGGAACCAAATCGTGAGATATCATCGTCCGTAGAATCCGCACGGACGCGCTATCGTTCGCGGGTCTTCCGAATCGCCGGATGCCGAGGGTTACGATTTTTACGCGATTTGCAAAATCATTCTATGCAACGGTAGCGTGAACGCTAATACCAAACGGATAGCAATCGTGGCGCAGCGGTTCACTTGAAAGCGGGTTAGGTAGCGATTGTTATCTTGAGCTGGAAGCGCGCACCGCCCGACGTGAATGGAATAAACTTACTAAAGGAGAACAAAGTTGATTCTCCGCGGCTTTTACTGCACCGAAACTAGCTGGTCCTCGTGGACTTGTGTGTCGTATGTAATGACATATGTAATGTACATACTGTCTACGCGAAAATACTGTCTGAGTAGGTTTGGGGTAGGTTTTCGGTGGGGCGGCAGTATCGAATACCGTTAATGTACATACTGTCTTTTGGTTTCCGCGCCTCTTGGGATACGCTACGATAAATAACATCCCGGCCATTCTTCGTGCTTAAAGTCGGTCGTCACGTGTCGCCGAGTCCCGCAACGACGGATCCATCGTCGGTGCCGACGCATGCACGTATTTCGTTTGATTGCGTCAAGTATCGTCGGCGGTCGAGAAAAAGTAAGGGAAAAGAGAAGTCTATGTACGTGGCGGAATAGGGGGAAGGCCGTGGTTACGTTTTTCTTTCCGTCGTTCCGGCGAATGGAAAAACTTCTGGTTATTCCCTTGGTCGACAGCGAGATCGTACACCCTCGATGCGGCCTTTGTGCCAGGGGAAAAGAGAAACAACCAGCGGAAAGGAGGGAAACGAGGAAATCCTTTGGAAAGGGTACCTTACCTGGCGGTTGGTGTTCGGTCGACTTCGGAGTCGCTTTGGAAACTTTCTTTTTTCCATCGGTTTAGTCTCGTTTTTCTCGGTGGCTCGCCGGGCTCGGAGCAGCCTCGTTGGTCGTGCGAATGCAAAAACCCGTATTTAAGATGTTATCCTACGGCGAGCACGGCCGCATTCAAAGTTAAGACATTAAATGTACATTAGTGCCGTCACACGACCGCTACTTAGATCGCGGACCCCGCTGCACAGCCACGCGCCCATACAAACACTCGCGTGCTCACGTTCTTCCACGTTATCCAGCTTTTTTTCTCGCGAACCCCTCCGGCTAGCCCTTTTAACGCGCCTAACAACGAGGAAGCCTCGGTGCGAGAAGGGGCGTCCGCGTCCGAGGGTGCGATGCGCGTGCCCTTGAATTCCTCTAGGCGCCGTGGAAATACCCAACCGAGCAACCCTCGAATTCGCGCTGGCTGCCGCGGCGAAACGTAGGGAGATCGATTTGTCGGTGACCGGGTAGCTGCAGTGGCATCTAAAAATAAAAGTTCGCGCTCTGGTCACGCAGAGAAATACGTGGAACATTTTTCGTGCGATTCCTCTGCAGGCGCATTCCAGAGGTAACTCGGAAGAAAACAAAGGTCGCGGATGCCGAGGGTAGTATTAATTAGCGCGTTTCGTGGCGGGCCGATTTTTGAAGACCTTCGACTTGGACGTCTAGATTTTAAAAACTTTGAGAATTCAGTAAACAGAGGGTTAACCGGTCTATTCGTCGCGAATACACGAATTTTTAGACCGATCGAAATTGTACGAATTATAGAGAGAGAGAAAAAAAGGGAACTCGTTAACTGGGAATGATTTTCGAGCTCCTGCTAGGCGACGGCGGCGAAACGATTTTTCATGCGATAAGTTGTACAAGTATCGTTGATACGACTCCTCGTTATGATGCGCATTCGATTCATACTTGGGTGCACGAAGCCGTACAAAAGGCGTGACCGGGAGTGGATGGTGGAAACAAGAAACATCCGGCAAAGTTTCTTCTACGTTGGCGCGCAACGATCGTTCTTTCGGCAATTGAGAGCGAGCACGATCCGCTAACGAGCGTATGTCTTTTTAGCGAAACGGATCGACGGAGCACGGGAGAGCAGTCTAACGGCGGTTTGCCGCAGAAAACGGAAACTATTCGATCGTTTCTCGTGTTGCACCACAATTTTCCCCCGGCTGGGTCGCCGGTCTCTTTATCGTACCTTCGTTTCTCGTCAACTTCGCGGCCAAGAATATTACATCGCGGTCAAAGCGGAGATCGAGACCTCCCCTGCCTCCGTCGCGTTTCGAAAATAGTCGAAATTATCTTTCGAATGTTGATGATTCCTCTGAAAGCTGGTGGACGGAAACAAGAGAAACTGGGTTAGCGCTATTAGCCCGCGACTATAGGATCGGAATACGTTTGACAACGACCCGCCAGAGATTCTAGACTAAATTGCCTTTTACGAAGGGGACAGCCGCGCGTTAAAAGTTCGTTCTTCGGCAAATAGGGGTGTGTTCTTTTCGCGTGGCAACGGTACCACGAACGAAGGCATGTCAAGTTATTATTTGACGTCTGTGGACTGCAAAGAACATTCCGAATTGGTACCTACCAAGCATCAGGCACCTACCAAATAACGAAATGTTGGACTTGCACGTGGTTTTATTAAAGTAGGATCGAGAGAGCGTTTCGTGGGTGACGCCTATAGGCGGTAGTAGTAGCGAAAGGGTTGAATTTAAACGCCCGGTTGCGACATCCAGTCAGAATTCTTAAGACTTCCACGACATCCTCGAACGTCACGATATCCATTTACGACTCGAGTAACCGGCCATAACATAGTGTTTGCTCGCTCTCGCGTTACACACGGCGCGACGTCACACGGCTGTCGCGGCTCGTATTTCCCAGGTGTATCGACACACATGTTTACGCACGTGATGAGAAAGGATAACAGAGGGAACGACGCGGTCCCCCCCTAAATTGCAATATTTATACGCGATGTCCGCTTAAATGCATGTGCAATTGGTCACGTGGTAGGTCGACAGACCGAATCCAAGCGGCGATGGATGGAAGAAGGAACGATGAGGCCGTGCCCGTGGGACGCCAAGCGTCTGATGACGTCTGTGGAGTGGTACACTCGACTGGTGCGTGTCAGAGTATAATTTCCCAATAAGTTTGTAGCTCTCAAATAGTTTTATCATTTTTCTAACGTGTTTAGATTGGTAACATCGGATCGTGAAAGACGTGTATTAATTCAGACCGCGGATGCAAGAAACTACAAAATGCGCACAGTATCCAATAATTCAAAGT